CATTTTAGGAAACATTACTACGCGTCTCCAACAATATTATAGCATTTACCAGCCGTATGGTAGACAGTTTTACTGTCTACTATACGGCTAGGCTTAGAACTTGATCCCTCAGCGCATCTCTTTTGATAGGGGATTAAAGCAGGAGTATACGTGACATTGAAGTTAGTTTTATCGTATTTTAACAAAGTCAAAAAATTTATAAAACAATTTTTAGAAGCTATAGTTCGGTATACTGAACCTACGCGTATCTTTTTTACTGCTTAGTCGATAAGTTCGGAGGTTTACTCGACTGCAGTACCAATCACGGAGACAAATATATTAAAACAAAATTATTAATTAAATACATACATTTAACACCTTTCTAAAAGGTAATCAACATCATCATACCGACATCGCACGACAGGGCTAATTTATACAGTGCAAGAAAATTAGTTCCTAAGTAAAAGAAACTACTTTAAAAGTGAAGCTACATTTGCATAGAATAATCTCAAAAGGAAATTGCAATTTTTAAGGTACTTTTAAAATACATAACTTTTTCACAAGTAGTTAGAAGGCAATTGTTCACTCTCACGCTACGTATATGTATATGTTATTAATAATGGATAACTGTCGTGGAAAGTAAATGAACGTTAGATGACTAAAAACAATCGCAAGGTACTAAGCATAATTGTAAATAATTAATTTTATATTGGTTAATCATAATATCATCACATATCATCATCATTACAGCCCTTCACAAGTCTACTGCTGAACATCCAGCCTCCCCTAAGGAATGCCACAAAGGTCGGTCCTGATCCACCTACATTCATCAAATTCCTACATGTTGCTCCATCACGTGGGGGGGGGGCGTCCTATACTTCGCCTACCGGTATGAGGCTGCCACCCGAGAACTTCCCCATCGGTAATCAATAATCGACATCGGTGAAAATAGCAACAATAAGAAACAAAATTTTAATTTCCCTTTTACCAAGGATTACCCTTTTACCAATGCATTCTCCACTGACACACGCACAAACCTCCTCTTATTTCTGAGAGAGCTTCACAAAGATTTCCTGGAGTCACAGAAAATATAGGGATTATTTCTGAACTAAGAAACGACAGATATTTCTACCTCTCGAAGAAAGACTTCATAAATGTTTTAGTTTTAACAATTCGTTTTCACTTTAAGCGAACGGATATATATTTCCTACATCCTTCATTACATACCTACATTTTTTATAATTTCTCATAACTTATACAATTACTATGTTATTGCTACAAATAACAGTTTAGCAACAGTTGAGTTTGTTTACATGTACAACGAAATAGCAAAATTTTCCGGAATACCTACGTTGCGCGAGAAAACTCAATCTTACGTAATGCTTACAAAGCTTTGCAGCGGGATTGTTACAAACGGAACTGTACAAACGGCAATAACACTTGTAAACTGATAGGCGATAAGAGCTCGGCGGGATATTCTAGTGTTTGGCAGGGCGCCACCCGCCAATGCGGACGTGGGAGCATAGTTCATTCACCGCAAAGAAACACCATTCACGAACGGAATTCGCAAACTCCTTTCCAATGCTGTTCCGATCTTGATAGTGCCGCGATCGAATGGGAAACAGAGTTACCAGAGCCGGTCACCTTAACTTTATTGCGATAAGTGAGTCAATTTATCGTGAACAGTGCGAGCGGTAAGGGTCCGTGTCGAATATGACGTCGTATGTTCTTCGTGTAAGTCGTGACTCGAAATAGGATCGTATCGATATCATTTAAATGTCAGTTCGATCACTTTGAACTATCGATACCTAGTTGAATGAGGTAATATCTTGTTGAAAATGTATTAATTTAAGTGAAATATTTTGGACAAATAAAACACATACCATATAAAATGTAATGTAAGATGATGGTACCAGGCGGTCCCATAATGAACTGGCCTGATATAGTTCAACGCGACATGTCGCTACATGTTGTGTTGCATTAAATAGTACGTTTATCGTGCACTTAATATAAGAAACATGCATCGACATGAAATGCTTAGTCTTAGTTTAATAGGCATTTGAATAACGAGAGTCGCGTATTTTTTCAAAATGTCGAAAACTGAGTATCGAAGTGTCATAAAGTTTCTGTTTAAAGAAGGTTTATCCCCTGCCCAAATAAAAGAACGATTGGATGGCGTGTATAAGGAGTCTGCCCCCTCCTATAGCACAGTGAAAAATTGGGTGAAAGAGTTTCGCCTCGGGAGCGAAACCGTTGAAGACTTTGGCCACGACGGTCGACATGTGGAAGTGCTCACTCCCGAAACGATTGCTCTTATCAAAGAGGAGGTTCTGAGTGACCGCCGTTTGAAGATTAGAGAAATTGCAGCAAGGCTTGGGCTCTCTAAGAGTACCGTTCATCGCGCGATCCATGAACATCTTCACATGAAAAAAGTGAGTGCAAGATGGGTACCGAAACTTCTTTCAGCGGTACAGAGACAGGAAAGAGTGCGCTGCGCTTCGGAGTTTTTGGATCTTTGTGGCGAAATCCAAAGACTGTGATCGAGCGGCTAGTGACTGGTGATGAAACTATGATCTTGTATTATGATCCACAAAGCAAGCGCGAGTCAATGGAATGGCGTTATAAGGGTGAAAAGCCCCCTAGAAAGGCAAAGGTGCAACAATCGACTAAAAAACTGATGTGCACAATATTTTGGGATTTTCAAGGCATTTTGATGGTGGATTTTAAAGAACGTAATACAGTCGTGAACGGCAAATATTATGCTTCTTTAATATATAAATTACGAGACAAGATAAAGGAAAAACGAAGAGGCAAGCTGCCTAAAGGTGTCCTGTTGCTCCATGACAACGCCCCTGTTCATACCGCTGGTGTTTCGAAGGATGCAGTTCGTCAATGCGGGTTCACAGAAGTTCAACATCCACCTTACAGTCCAGACATGGCCCCGTCCGACTATTATTTATTTCCAAAATTAAAGCGGGACTTAAGAGGAAGAAAATTTTCAAGCGATGAAGAGTTGCAGGCGGCCGTCTCCAGTCATTTTGAGGATAAAAAAATGTGATTATTTTTATAAAGGTTTAGAGATGTTGATTCACAGATGTCAGAAGTGTGTTAGTATTCATGGTGATTATATTGAAAAATAAAATTGGTTTCGTTTCATTTCCTTCATTGGTTCATAGTTAGGCCAATTCATTATGGGACCGCCTACGTATGTCCGACCTATTCGTTCTACAACCATAATATAGCTGCACCGTACCGGTTCACAGCTCACCGCATGTGAACTGCATACATGTTATTTTTTATTGAATCACTATAAAAACCTTACAAACAGTATAGGAGGAGTAAAGGCGGACTTAATGCTAAAAGCATTCTCTGCCAGTGAACCTTAAGGCATTTAGTGATAACACCGCGAAGACAGATATAGAGAATATTAAAAAAATAGATGTTGGCGTGGTTTTCCGTTACAAGAAATCGTTGATAACGTGACAGATCTCACGTTTGAACCCTATCAACTCTAACCGGGTGCTTGATTGTTTCTGTGATCAGTTCTCTTCGATCCTGCATCCCAGACAATCTTCGATCTTATCCAACAAGCGCTACATCGCGCACGGGCAGGTCAAGATGAATTAGTGCCTATGTTTATTAGCGTGATATCTCCTGCGCGACTGACAACTCTAGTTTAAAACAATTAATTATTTCGAAATAATACCGGAAAATTCGAAATATTGCGCCGTATACGAAAGAAGTGATAAGCGATTTTATATAACTTGTTATGACATTATTGAAGAAAAAAATTAATCTTTGTTTTTTTTTGTCTTTTTTAAAAACATTACCCACTAACGTTTAACACTAGGATTTTCTCCTGTATAGGTATCGCGGAGGCAGTTTACGTACATTGACTTCACAAGGACGAATGCACAGGCGCAGAATAATTATTACTAAACCATATAAATACTTGTTCTCTACAGGTTTCGAACCCGTAACTCTCAGTGCTGCAACTTATTGCTAAACCACTGCACGACGAAGTCGCCGGAAATCTACCTACCATAAAATCCCATAACGTTTAAACGATAACAGCGGAGGTAAACTATGATACAATGTCAAATACATACATAAACAAAACCAAAGAAGTGGAATAGTTTATCAACATTTTTGTCCTCCATTTAAAAAATAAAAATGATATTTAAAGGCTGACGGTAGCCCGTGTAAACTTAGAACCGAAGACTTAGTTGTTTGACGTCCCGATTTCATATCGGGACGTCAAACAACTAAGTCTTCCTTGATCATAGGTGCTGTAAAGTACTGGTAACATCATAAGGCATTAAAATTAATTTAAAAAATTTAAATTAATCGCGATAAATTCCATTAAATTAGTTTTGTGTATTCTTTTACCTTAATATAAGAAATCATTACATTTTCTCGCATTTCCCATCTTACGACAACCATGCACATTGCATACACGAGATGATACGCTGCATGCTCTTCGCCGCCACCACACGACATGAAAATGACCCGCTTGTATTAAATTAATGGTATGTTAATTAGACCCGCCAAAAGTAATTAATTTCGTAACCGCATTTATATGTAACAGCGAGTTCACTCAATGCGGATTACCAAAACGTTTTATCATTCGGTTTCCAGCGGCATTAACCAACATATGTGTGTATACTAACTATATTATCAAACCTAATGCATTAAAAAAACTTTGTTTTTCATTTTTATGTTCTACTGTGTTAACAACTTCGCTGCCAGCTCCGCGAATTAGCGGAGTGCGGGGTGAGTGCGGGGTGCCGGCCCCGCTATTATGCGGAGTAGCGCCGCTTGGTTTCAACGAATTAGTACGCGCCCGACACTGCGCTTGGCAACACGTTTGTAGTCTGGCTCTGCGCTTCAATAAGGTAAAATACCGTTACAAGTTACGGTTTTTTAAAATTGACTCTTATTGTCAAACAAATAAGGTATTTACATGGATGACGAAGCCGGGCCATCAAGGGCAAAACGAAGCAAATTGCCACTAAATTATAATGTTACGGACAGTGATATTGAAGATGAGCTCTTTGGAGATGATGGTAGTGATGATGAGTACTATTTTGAGGGCTTGGATGTCTCATCAGATGACGAAGAAGAGGCTGCTGATCGGCGGCATATTACCGCTGTCGCAGTCTCATAGCCCATCCGAAGAGTCCCAACCATCAGAAAGCACTGCAACATCTACAGTAGGATGGACCACGACATGTGAGTTACAAAATATAAACTTTACTAAACAGAATGCGTTTCCGGCAACCCTGGACAAACTCCAATAACATTTTTCAACTTCTTCTTCGAAAATGATTTTCTTGCTATGATTTGCGAAAAAACTAATGCTCAAGCTGCCAAGTTACTAGGAAACACCGTATTAGCAAATTCAAGAATAAATGCTTGGAAGGAGTTGAATATTCCTGAGCTGAGAATATTCTTAGGCTTATTATTTCACATGGGGTTCACTCAACTACCTCGCCTACAAGATTATTGGAAAACGAACCGTTTATTTTCAATACCTATTTTTGGGCGATTTATGAGTAGAAACAGATATCTGCTTATAATGAGATGTCTCCAATTCAGCTCAGAGACAGTGATTGACCCAGACCCACTGTACAAAATACGCAGCGTCATAGATTATTTCAATCAAAAAATGGATAGCTGATATTATCCTGCGAAAGAGTTGTCTTTGGACGAGAGTATGGTGCTATGGAGAGGACGTCTCAAATTTAGACAGTACATCAAAAATAAAAAACATAAATATGGAGTCAAACTGTACATGCTGACTGAACCTGATGATCTCATTCTCAAATTTCGTGTTTATGCAGGGAGCCAAGACATTGAAGTGGCAGGAAAAGGGCACGCAGAAAAAGTTGTGATGCAATTGATGGAAAAGCATCTTCAGAACGGCCACTCATTGTATATGGACAACTATTACAATAGCTTCCATTTGGCAAAGCGTCTTTTAGAAAATAGAACATACTGCACTGGAACCTTGCGATAAAGATTTGAAGGAAAATCCAAAGGAAGTTTACCAAAAAACACTGAAAAAAGGTGAAAATATATCACGTTTTCAAGAAAGTGTACACATCGGAAAGTGGAAAGACAAACGCCCAGTGATGTACATCACCACAGAATATGAAGACAGAAGGGTGCCAGTTGCCAACAAACGTGGCCAGATCAGTGAAAAGCCAGAAGCTATTGCAAAATATAATGAGTTTATATCTGGAGTTGATAGACAAGACCAGTTGCTCGCATTTTATCCATGTGAAAGGAAAACACTACGTTGGTATCTGAAGTTAGCGATCGATACGTTTGCAACTTCTCTTCATAAACTTACACAAAATTTATAACAAATATTCTGGCCAACCGAAAATGACACTCTATGATTATCGTTTATCTGTGATAAATGAGTTGTTACCCGAAAACAATACTTCAGTGGTTGCTGGTTCAAGCAATGCAAGAACAAGTAGAGAAGTGCTGCACAAAATCAGTAAAATTACTGAGAGAAATTCCAAAGGATTTCTTAGGCGTAAAATGTGCCGCATGTGCTCAAAAACACAAAAAAAACGTAAATACTCTATGTGGCATTGCGAAATGTGTAAAGACAAACCTGGTCTATGCTATGAATGTTTCGATGAATACCACTTGTCCATCTAAATTTAATTATGTTTTTTTTTATTTAGTTATTAAAGATTTGGTTTTTGTATCCATCAGCAGTATGATTATATAGCGTTAGAAGTTTTATTAGTAATTTTTTTTTATTTAGACCGCGATCATACAGCTGGCTATTTTGTGAGTTGATTTTATAAAATTCTAACAAAACATTATATAGAATATTTTGTTATTAGAATTGAGAAGTTTATTTTTTGTGAGTTGGGGAAGCTGTGATTATTTTTAGAGGTTTTGTGTTTAGTTTTACTTAGAATACTGTAATTCAGCTATTGTAAGTTACTTTGAGTTTTATTTTATTTTATACTATTTTTTGTAAGATTACCCAGTGAAAGACTTTAGTAAATGTTACCAAAGGTATTAGAATTAAGCAAACTACTTTTTTCTTGTGTTTAAATACCATAAATAATTTTAAATAAACCATAATACATAAAAGAAACTACTCCGCAAAATTGCGGAGTTGGCACTGGGGTTGAAAATGTCAATCTCAGTGCCAGGTCCGCAAATTTGCGGATTTTTTTATTTAGCATTTTCTTACCAAAACCTTCTAAAAATAGTTAAATATTTCCAAAATAACAATATTGAAACGTCATTCATGCATATTTTACAAAAAAATAAACAATGGATTTTCCTATGACGTCACCATATTCCAGTTGGCAGCGAAGCTGTTAAGATTTGGGAAGCAAACAAAGATAATTTTAATAACTTCCTTTTATTCCACTGCGTACACGTTACAAATACAACCGCCATTACAAATCATATTTACATATGATATTATTTTAAAGAAAGAAGACAACATCCACAGACAATGTGACTCACAGATAAAAACAATTTGTTGATTTTACAACATCCATTATGGATCGTAAAACCAAAGGGCGAAGAATCAATGTAAACGTTTTAGATTTTTCTAACTTATTCGGTTAAACTGTTTTAGAAAACCGAATAAAACCTAAAATAAAAGCTTAATGCTGCTGTTTCGTACGGTGAGTGTACAGAACCGGAGACCCTTTTCAATAGGAAGGAAGGAAGCATTCCATTTTAGTACTTTAGGTTGACAATGCATCTACATTTTGATTAAATCGAAGATAGATGTGGCTGTATATGGGTTACGTAGTAATATTTTTGGAGCGAGCTCCTATGGCGCAAGAAAACGATTCTTTGAAATCTATCTCCTCCGTAACCCGTATTCCAATTTACATAATGTTTTCGTCAATATTTGTAGCTCAACGCATACAAGGTATTTGAATAATAAAAATGTGAATTTGAATCTGTGGGCACGGCAGTGCCCCCGCAAAGTCGAGCAAAAAAGCGGCACGGCCGTACCATACTTTTCTCGAAGCAATTCAGGCCATTTTCGACACCCTATAACTTCATCGTGGATAAAACTAGAAGCCTTAATTTAAAAACTATATGGCCAAGTCAATCTATATATTTAAAACATAAAAGATTTTTAACATTGGTATGGTCACTATAAAATGTTGTTAGGTTAGCTAATTTCATAATAACTTAAAACAGAAGGACCCTTATGGTAGGAACTGAATAAATTAACCGACTTGGTATTACATGGATCTCACAACCTTTTACTTAGATGGTTGGCATTTGATTTGATCGTTAATTTTTGGTATTCCTGTAAATCCAAGTTTCTACAAGCGGTACGTAGATGACACTTTCACAATTTCACCATCTGACAAAGTAACTGCATTTTTATACCACCTTAACTCTATAAACTCTAAAATACAATTCACAATGGAGTTAGAGGCAAATAATTATTTAGCTTTCTTAGATGTTTTAGTCATTCGAAATCCTAATAACACAATTGGTCACACTGTGTATAGAAAAAAGACCCATACCAACCGATATTTAAATGGTGAATCTCACCATCATCCTTCACAGTTAGCTACCGTGGGTAAATCTTTGTTTCAGAGAGCACGAGGGATCTGTGACAGAAAACATCTTGCAAGACAACAAGCTTCGGGTCCCGCGCCTACGTCACAGTGACCGAGTGAAGCCGGCTACAGTCGAGCGTGTACCTGCTGTACTACCATATGTCAGAGGAGTCACAGACAAGGTTGGCTATATCTTGAAGCGAGCTTCCATTAAAACATACTACAAGTCGCCGAAGAAGATTAGTCAATTTTTACCATCCGTCTAGTGTAATATCCCTCTACAAGATGCAGGAGTGTACAAGTTAGATTGTGAATGTGGTCTCTCTTACATAGGTCAAACAAAAAGATCCATAAAAACACGCGTGAAAGAACATATAGCTGACGTGAAGCACCGACGCTCCGGGAAGTCTGCAGTCTGCGAACATGTTCAAGATCATCCCCAACATTACATTCGATTTGATAAACCACAAATTCTTGCAAAAGAACACCGATTCCTACCAAGGATAATACGCGAGGCTATTGAAATTAAAAAACATCCAAATTTAAATAGAGAAGATGGATGGGTGCTGCCACCTGCTTGGGATCCTATAATTAACAAAATTAAATTCAAACCTAAGCATACCACTGCAAGACTTCATGATACTATAAGCTCGTTTTGCGTAAATCGGACCAAAATTAATATTCAAAAACTGAAGGTAGCCGGACTAACTATGACACTGGGACGTCAAACATCTCGGTCCCCCCCCCGTGACTGATATTTAGATTTAAAAATAAGTAAAAGTAATGAAATAAACGCGATAAAATCCGTAAATTTAGTTTTATTCAATGTGTAGTGTTCGCGTAGATTTAAGAAATCATTAGTGGTTGTTTGTTGAGTGTGTTGTCTTGCGTTGTCGTGAAGCAGCAGTGGCCTAAAGCGATTGACTAATCTCGGTTATTTAGCAGCTAGTTCTTTCTTCATGGTTTACAGTTGCTGACAAAAGATAGCCGCCGTAATCCTTTGGCCAGATTTTAGAAAGATGTGGTGAACGACACCGGCACTAGTCCACCAAACAGTCACAAGTAACTGTTTCTGAGGCAATTTTCGTTTAGGGCAAGATTTGGCTGGGTCTTCAGGGTTCAGCCATTGCGACGAGCACTTCCGATTATCTATTAATGATTCGATTTAAAATCCCTTCATTTTTGTGTCGGTTGAGCAAAGTAACACAGCAGTCGACGCGTGTTTGCAAGTTCAATTCACTCAATTCATGAGGTACCCATCGTTCAAGTTTTTTTTACTTTCCCGATTTGCTTCAAGTTGATTAATACAGTTTTATAACGTACACCGAAGCCTGCAGCTATCTCTGAAGTGTTTTGTGAATGATCCGCTTCCACAATAGCCTTTAATTCTTCATTTACCACTTTGGTCTCCGGCCGTCCACGGGGTTGGTTCTGAAGGTCGAAATATCCAGAACGAAAACATCGAAATCAAAAACGTAGGCTGTGTTTTCCTTTGCGACACCAGTGCCGTACACATCAATAATCCGTCGAGCTGTTTCTGCAGCACTGGTGCCACAGTAGAGCTCGTACTCGTAAATATACCGATATTTCATGTATTCCATTGTGCCGTAATAAGCGACGCCAAAGAAAAAAATAACGAGGAAAAAACAAATGAATGACTGTTTTCAAAACTCAAGTGTACCAGCTAAATGAATTTATAAATTTAAATTTGGAATTCTTAACCAAAGAGGAGATATTTCAGATCAAAGTGGTCTGTACGACAAAACGTTAATTTCATATGTAAGGACCCAATACAAACTTCAATTATATTCTTGTAAGTCGTAAAAATTTAACGATATTCATGACAGCGCCGAAAGATAAACAATTGTTTACGTATTATAAGCCAGTGGTTGATTTAAATGTTACGTAGAGGTTGCTAAGATGTCGTATGTGGTAAATCACTTGCCTTGCTACAGCTACCCCGGTGTAGTAATCGGATGGAAAGATCGCCACTTTAACTAGATCGGTAAAAGTAACGCTTGTACTTGCACGGCCGTGTTCCGGATTAAAGAGATATTTGAGGCCTTCACTGTCGGCAGTTGGCTGCGGGTGTGCCGTGGACTTCCGTAGCCACTCCATCAGGTGGGTGAAGTGGAGAGAAAAATTAAATTAAAGGAGGAAAAAATCCAATTCATTCCGCAGGTGTCATAATATATAGCAGAGGATTTTTACTGGCTATAAAACTATGGGTCTGGGCTGAAAATCAAACCCTGGATCTCAATACCCCCTGGTCCGGTACTTATCAATCATGGAATCTAACCATGGCGGAAAGTACAACAGTAAAACAAATTTATTTGTGATAAAGTTGCGTATTTACTAGTAAACAAGCTTAAAAAAGCTCTCACTTTTTTATTAATTTATTGTTTTAAAGAAGTTTCCACGTTATTCGCTACGACATTATTAGACT